ACGACTTCGTTCATAATGCTGGAGCGATCCTCTACCGTCGTGTGAAGGCTCCTGCACCGGCTGCAGATGGCGCGGCGATCCCACCTGCCCCGGCTGCTGTGCCTGATGACGCAGGACGCCCCCCGGCATCTGTGGTACACATCCCTGGTTTGCGCGCTCTCGTCGACTCGTCTCATGAGCACTTCATTCCTCCGCCTGCGCAGCGAAATGTGACCCCTCTTGTCATGCGCGTCTTCCCTCGCCATGTGCATGCTCGCGCTGCGCTGACCGCTCAGCAGCGTGATATCCTCACCTTGCACAGCCGCAGGACACACTCGCTCAAGTCGCAGGATAGGGTCTTGCAGTCTACCATCTTCGCTAATTTTCCTGAGCGAGACCTGAGCCACTCTCCGATGCGAGTCTCGAGCTACTATCGATCGGCGCGGAGCTGGCGAAGCGTCTCCGTCCCTCACTGTGACGTCGGGTGCCTCCGGCGGTACCGCTCGAGGTAGTCCTCCTCGCTAGCCTCCGAGTCAGCGGTAGCCGAGTCAGCGGTAGCCGCCCGTGACGGCGGCGACGCCGCGGCAATGCCCAAGGACCGGCGTGACCCGACCGATGCCGGGGAGGAAGCAGGCGAGCTCGGACCAGCAGCAAGCACCCCAGTGGTGTCGAGCTCTCCGGAGGCACCCGACGTCACAGTGAGGGACGGAGACGCCTCGCCAGCTCCGCGCCGATCGTCGGGGCCACTCGAAGGGTGTCCGGCTGCCCTTTCTCCGTCCGCGGCCGCCCGCTTTGTGGCGGCAGCGGACGTCTCGACTGACAGTGGTCAGTCGGCTGCCTCCGGGTATCGCGTGTAAGGGATTTTATTCCTCCTGCATGCTCCTGCTGCTTGTTGCTTGATTGCTTGACCCTTAGGCTGCTTGTCTGCGCGGCTTCGCGCTTGGGCTGGCGATGCCGCGTCTGGGTGCCAGCAGTGCTGGTTGTTTTCGGGCTTGTGTTTTGTGTGTGATTGTGCAGCTTCTCGCTGTGGACTGTGTACCTGCCGGTTCAGCTTGTTCCTGCTTTGTTTTGCTTGAGGCACTTTTTATCTTCTGCCAGTAAATCCTATACACCCCCATCGGAGTCGGAGACCTCCGGCGAAGACTCCGCGGGCGACTCGACAAAGTCCGAGGAGGAGCTGTCCTCTGGCTCGAGAAGTGCTTGCGCCCGCAAGGGCGTCATGCGCCTCGCACCAGACAAGAGCGCTTCCAGCGTCAGCTGCATAGTGAGGCGCTGATAGGTGGCGGCGCGTTTGCGAGCCAAGACCTCAGCAGCAGGGCCGTCATCAGGCACGAAGTGCCGACTGTGTACCTGCCGGTTCAGCTTGTTCCTGCTTTGTTTTGCTTGAGGCACTTTTTATCTTCTGCCAGTAAATCCTATATCCTCCTGGCGCTTGGGCTGGCGATGCCGCGTCTGGATGCCAGCAGTGCTGGTTCTTTTCGGGCTTGCGTTTTGTGTGTGATTGTGCAGCTTCTCGCTGTGCGCTGTGTGCCTGGAGGTTTAGCTTGATCCTGCTTTGTTTTGCTTGAGGCACTTTTTACCTTCTGCACTTTTTACCTTATGCCAGTAAATCCTCCCCCTTCTGCCAGTAAATCCTATCGCCCCGTGGGGGGAAGTCAACCTCGACGCCCTCCATGTTGCAGCGTCTGAGAAGATTCGCAAACATTGCGCTGCATATGCCATGTTCAGCTTGTTCCTGCTTTGTTTTGCTTGAGGCACTTTTTACCTTCTGCCAGTAAATCCTATCTAAGTGCCCCAGGCGGACCCCCGGGCAACGCCGGCTCCTTGTCGGCGGCTGCCCTTTCTCCGTTCGCGACCGTCCGCTTTGTGGCGGCAGCGGACGTCTCGACTGACAGTGGTCAGTCGGCTGCCTCCGGGTATCGCGTCTAAGGGATTTTATTCCTCCTGCATGCTCCTGCTGCTTGTTGCTTGATTGCCTGACCCTTAGGCTGCTTGTCTGCGCGGCTTCGCGCTTGGGCTGGCGATGCCGCGTCTGGATGCCAGCAGTGCTGGTTCTTTTCGGGCTGCAGAAGGATTTACTGGCAGAAGGTAAAAAGTGCCTCAAGCAAAACAAGCTAAACCTGCTGGCACACAGCTCACAGCGAGGTGCCTGTCCACAGCGAGAAGCTGCACAAACACACACAAAACACACAAACACTTTTTACCTTCTGCCAGAAAATCCGTAGGAACACGGTACCGCTAGCCTCCGAGTCAGCGGTAGCCGAGACCAACACCGCCCGTGACGGCGGCGACGCCGCAGCAATGCCCAAGGACCGGCGTGACCCGACCGATGCCGGGGAGGAAGCAGGCGAGCTCGGACCAGCAGCAAGCACCCCAGTGGTGTCGAGCTCTCCGGAGGCACCCGACGTCACAGTGAGGGACGGAGACGCCTCGCCAGCTCCGCGCCGGTCGTCGGCGCCACTCGAAGGGTTTCCCCCAGCGGAGTCGGAGACCTCCGGCGAAGACTCCTCCTCGGGCGACTCGACAAAGTCCGAGGAGGAGCTGTCCTCTGGCTCGAGAAGTGCTTGCGCCCGCAAGGGCGTCATGCGCCTCGCACGCGCGTTTGCGAGCCAAGACCTCAGCAGCAGGGCGTCATCAGGCACGAAGTGCCGACGCTTGTGTTTTGTGTGTGTTTGTGCAGCTTCTCGCTGTGCGCTGTGTGCCAGGAGGTTTAGCTTGTTCCTGCTTTGTTTTGCTTGAGGCACTATTTACCTTCTGCCAGTAAATCTTCGTTTTGCACACAGCGCCACAGCGAGAAGCTGCACAAACACATACAAAACTTGAAAAAGCAAGACCAAAAGGGAACCAGCACTGCTGGCAACTGTCAGCAGACCCGGCACCGCCAGCCCACTCGCGAAGCCGCGCAGACCAGCAGGGAGGGTCAAGCAACAGTCTGTAGGAGGTTTAACAAGCAGCAGGAGCATGGGGACGTCCGAGATGAAACTCCCTTGGGCTGGCAGTGCAGGGTCTGGTTGCCAGCAGTGCTGGTTACTTTCGGTCTTATGTTTCGTGCGTTTGAGCCGCGTTTGTTGCTGTGTGCTCTCTGCCTGCCGCTTTTGCTTGTTGCTGCTTCCTTCTGCTTGAGGCACTTTAGAGGATCGCATCCTTATCCGCTCCAGCGTTATGAACGAAGTCGTGCGCCTGAACGAAAAAGGCACTTTTTACCGTACCTTCAGTGCCAGTAAATCCGTCGCCAGAGGATGCTTCTGGGCTCGGTGAGACCTCGAGCACTGAACGTCCAGGCTGTGAGGGTGCAAGCACTTCTCGAGCTCCTCCTCGGACATTGTCGAGTTCCGATGGAGGAAACATCCAGAGTGGAGCCGATGCGCCCACTGTCGGACGTCCGGCGGATGCCTCCGGAGAGCTCGACGCCACTGGGGTGCTTACAAGCGTCTTGAACATGAAGCCATGATGGCTTCGGAGAGCTCGACGCCACTGGAGTGCTCGCAGCTGGTCCGAGCTCACCTGCCGCAGTGCTTGCTCCCCACCAACTCGCCGCCGCGCTGCGTCGCCGTCACCGGCTCGGCAGCCCGGCACTGCGCGGCACTTTCTACCTTATGCGAGTAAACTCTCCAGCCCGGTCCGCAGTGCGCCCGCTGAGTCCTGCCGCAGTGCTCAGCTGTGAGTAGGAACCTGGCAGAGTTTTACATGAGGCTTGTTGACGGAGTTTTGCTTAACCGGACCGCGGCACTGGCACGCCGCTTGAAACAAGGATTGTGGAGCACACAGTCGGAGCCTCGGAGAGATAGACAGACGGTATGCTAGGATCGGATGTGAAACTGTCGCGGTCCAGACATGACTGGCCGGCTCCGAGGCTCAGCGGCAGAAGCCCGGCCCGGACGGCGGGGCCGGGACCGTCGGCGGAGGCCCGTCGCGAACCGGGAAACTGCCCGGTATGCGGGCCCGGTGCTGCTGAAGTACAGGAAGAAGTTGGAATGATCTGTAAATGATAATGTAAATTTCAAATTTTAGAACAGAATTTAAGAGACTGTTGTCAACCTGCAAGCAACATGCTTCCTCAAATGATTTTGAAGGAATGGCGGGAGTGCTAACCATGGCTCCGGGGATGGGGAGGGCGCCGGCATCGCTCTCCATGCACCTCCTGCTCTGACCGCAGAAGAACTTGAGCGCAGTTGTGCCTGCCTTCTCTCTCTTGAGCTCATGTCCTGAGGGCGGTCCCCGGTCGGTAGCTAGTGGACTGAAGAGCCTGAGAAGGAAATGGCTACTCTCCCTCCTCCATCATCCCCAAGGAGCCATCAGCGCCCTCCCACACACTCGGATTATTCGCAGGCTGGGAGGATCTGGAGTTCGTTGGGGTTCTTGTTAGACTACAGGCCCCAGGTGAAGGCGTGCAGATCGATTGACTGCTCGCATCTGACATGAATCACAGAAAGGTACTCACTCCCAGGACGGGGGGATCTTGGACCTTACAGCTGTCGGGCTCGGCAGATTTTGGAGGAACAGTGGAGAGCAGAAAGACAAGAATCTGCCAGGCTACTCACCTCACTTGATCTACAAGGTAACAGGGAGCGCTCTGCTCAAACGAAAGGATTTCTTTGCTGAGAAGGACGGCAGGTCAATCAACGTGTGTGCAGCCTTTTGATGGAGGGAGACGAGGTCGCTTCCGTAGATGGAGAGGTGGATGCTGTTGGTTGGACAACTGTCGAAGCTTACCTCTAGGGCCTTGTGTGCATCCCACAGGCCGTGTCGGAGAGGCGAGGAGAAGAACTCTGCCAGCTCCTGACCGAGAAGATCGACAAGGTCAAGGTCATCAAGCTCACGGTCTGTGGTCCCTCCGCTGAACCCGGCGATGTTGGTGATGTCTGGGGCAGATAATCAGGAGGATGGCTGGAGACAACTGGGGGGTGACGTCAAGGAACTTGGATGTTGTCATCTCCGTCAGCTCGTCTCGCAGGTTTTCTTGTGCGATCAATTCTACATCTCACTCCCCGAACCAGCAACATGTCGAGAGGTCAGCCCAGCGAGCCAAGAAATGTTCCCGACGATGTGATTGTTGAGGTTGCATGCCATGCCTGAATGAGACGCAGTCAGCACGTTCGACCAAGCCTTCTAGAGAGCAGCAAGCAGGACATACAAGTAACGCAAACTTGACGATTTGAAGGAAGATTTAATATGATACTAATAATCAGGTCTTGATCAAAGCGGATCAAGAGGTCGGAAAGTGTACGTTCCTGCCTGCTTCAAAGCAAACATGCCAGATTCGATGAAGGCAAGTGATCTTGTTGCTTGACTGAGTTTGACAAGCTCATCCAGGCTTCCAGAGTTCAGCGAGCAGGCGAAGGAACGCATAGCGAACGTGTACATTTGCCCGAAGAATCCTTCGAAAGAAACTTGAAGGGAGAAAGGAGGGAGAGATTGACTGATCGTGAGAAACGCGAGGAGGAAGAAGAAGAAATGAAGATCTTCAAGGGAGGGGAGTCAGCCATGGTGCGATCATTGCATGCTTTATGTGGTCGCTAACCCTGCGATTGAATCAGCCATCAAGATGTGAAGAGAATCTGAACTCACAAGCAAACAGCATGCCTGGCATGCCACACGTCCTCACAGCCTTCATTGAGCATTCTGTCCAGAGGTGCCAGGAGCATGTGCTCTCCCTCTGATCTCACTCTCAGTCGGTCTTGCTCTCTAGGTTGGGCAATGATTTGCATCAGAGCGACGTAGCTGAGGTCGCGCTTCCCTCGTGGATCAGACCGCTGATGCTCTATCAACCCAACGGCATGAACCCTCTCACGGTCTCGTTGCCTCTCGTCTTGCTTCTTGTGATGTCCCGACAGGATGGGATCGGACATCTTCACCGCGCCATCACCACGATGGCAGAGAGCAGTGAGTGTCGATGAGCACCAGTACCCCTTGCTGAGACGCCGCGATGGCAGGTATCCGAGAAGCTCAATTGCAGCAGCAGCAGCGGGAGCTCAGAGTGCAGGAAGAGGCGATGAGAGGGTGAGCGAGGGAGACGAGGAAAGTCTGTGTCAAGATGACGGATGTTGCATGTTTTACAGCAGACGTATTGGATTGGAATCGAGTCATGAGGCAGAGAGTGACGGGAAGGCTTATGACTCAGCGGAGGACGTGAGAGAATTTGACCCGTCACTTCCCCTGGTTTCACGCTCCTTGCAACAGCTCCTGAGACTAGAGGCCATCGGGACGGGGAGAGTTCAGTGCAAGGTGAGGGAATGAGGGTGAAGGGATCGACGAGGGGCGAGGAGATGACCAGAGCACGCAGAGCTTGAGTGAGCAAGACAAAGAGTTGGTGTGGCGGCAGAGGGAGAAGCTTGTCAAGTACCGTAGAGGGCTCCTGCCATTGTTTCACTCCACCTGCTGGCAGAGGGAGTCAGACGTTCGCAAGGTTCGACGCTCTTCCATGCGTCCTGCCACCCTCTGGCATGACGACTGCCCGTCACTGCAGGTGCTCGAGCTGGTGGATGGCTGGGTGGAGCTGGAGGTCGACGATGCTCTGGAGCTGTTGGGGTCCAACTACAGCGTTGTCCCGATCCGTTCGCTAGCGATCCGCTCTCTCGACAAGGTTTGTCTGCAGCTGGAGGCGTGACGGGCTGAATGTGGGGGAAGGCAAGATGTGAGGAGGGACGGCAGGGCAGGGGACGGGAGGGGAGAGGTCAATGGAAAGCGACTCTGACGGAATTGGCTCAGGTGTCGGACGCGGAGTTGATGTGCTTCTTGATGCCTCTCACGATTGCGCTGCGATATGACGTTGTGGATTTGGGGGAGCAGGAGGATGGCGAGGAGAAGGGAAAAGAAGGGACGGAGGAGGAGGAAGAGGCGGTTGGAATGCTGGCGAAGTTTCTCATTAGGAGGTCACTGCGCAACTCATCGATAGCCATGGCGTTCTACTGGCACCTTGTTGTCGAGAGATCGTGCGGGGGGAACTTCTCGCGCATGTACAGGAGAGTTCACGCGCTGCTGAGCAGAAGGCTGCAGGCATCCCAGATGCTGTTCGATGCAGGAGGGGGAGGGGTTGGAGGATCGCAATCGAGCTGGAAGGGGCTGAAGGTGCTAGAGGTGGTGCGGCAGCAGGAGCACTTCGTCGCTTCTCTCTCTGCTCTTGTGGCGGAAGTGAGAAAACACGGGAAGTTGTCGAGGCTGCAGCAGGTGGAACGACTGCGAGAAGCGATCTCACCCGAGGGAAACCTGAGCCACCTCGCCGACCTGGCTGTTCCTGTGCGGCTGCCGAATCAGAGCCATGTGGTTGTCTCAGGTGTGAGGAGGAAGAGGACGGGGTAGGGAGGAGAGGGAAAGGTGACCGAGAGATTTGATGCTGCAGGTATCATAGCTGACAAGACGACGATCCTCAAGAGCGCCATGATGCCGATCAAGCTGGTGTGCAGGAGGGAGGAGGCGAAAAGAGACAGGAGCGAGGACGACGACGAGGAAGAGCCGTCGAGGTGCCACACGGTGCTGCTGAAGAGCAGCAACGATCTCCGTCGAGACCAGCTGATCATCGCCTGCATCGACCTGATGGACATGCTGCTCAAGCGCGAGGGGTCGACCTGAACATCATCACCTACCGAGTCACTGCCACATCTCACAACCAGGTGAGGAGGACGAGGATGTGGGACTGTGTGTGAGTGCGGAGATTGACTGGAAGGGGGGAGGAGAAAGGTGTTGAGTTAGGGGTGGTGGCGGAGGAAGAAGAGGAAGAAGTTGAAGTGGAGGAGGAGGAGGAGGAGGAGGAGGACGCGTGAGAAGGAGGAGGGAGTAGGAGTAGGAGTAGGAGTAGGAGGAAGGGCGGGGGGGGGGGGGGGAGGAGGGAGGGAGGAGTCGAGGTGG